ACTATCTTTCGCATATGAAGGAGAAGAATATCTTCAAAATGAGTGGTTTATCATTACGAAGTTATGGTGCACCGACAAAAAAACACCTTTTAGAAATAATATATAGGATGTGTTTTTAGGCAATTATGTTAATTACAATACATCCTACAGCACAGTAAAAAAAGAAGCTTTGCAACAGTTAATTGTAGTCAATGAGGACGTTTTCTAAAAATGGGATAAATATAGTACAGAAGAAGGTTGATAAAAAAAATCACAATTAATTTGACTTTTTTTAAACGGAACTTAGCTGAGTTTGTCCGCAATATAATCCTCTTGAATTAGTTTTAGCAATGACAAACTCTACTTTTGTTTAAACTAAATTTTATCTAGTTTACTATGGATCAGTAATAAAATCACTTAAATAAAATATTTTTTAAGTTATCGCTTCCTATTGAACAAAAAATGTGGCTCGCATAAAAAAAAAACACAAATCTTAAACTTCCTATTTATCCGCTGGAAATCGGGCAATTGTTTATATGAACTTATATCGACCTTTTAAATATTTCCCTCTATTTACGGGACACTCTGTAAACATATAAGGGGAACTAGGCATTCATTAAATGAATAGGATAAACCAAAATAAAAGATTATATTCCATTATAGAATGACAGCATTGTAGAAATTATAAAACAAAAACAAAACAATAAAAAGCAAATGAACTTTTAAAAAAATAATAATATAATTGAGCAAAGTTTTAAGCTATGTGATCACAATAAAATCAACAATTTTAACAATATTTTTATATATAACATTACAATTAACTATATAAGTATATATATATATATATGATCACAATGCTATTTACTTTAAATAAAATAATGAGAAAATGTTAAATCATCATCAGATATATTCTGAAGCTGTTACAATCTCAAAGCTTTTAGTTGCAGTCAAATTTAAAAATAAAAACAGCATACATTAATTTAAAGTTCTTTCAATTTGCTGTGGTAACAACAATGTTACATTGCATATAAGTAAATTCTAAATCACAATGTTAAAATTCTTATATAAATAAATGAATGAAGAAAACAACTGAATGACTAGGAAAGTAAAATATTTTTTAATCGAGAAACGTATAGGTTACTCTGACCTTCCATGTTTTTAAAAAATAATTTATACATATTAATATATATAAATGTATATATACATATTAATATATATATATATATTCATAACAACAAAATTATCTTGATTAACACTTACTTAAGGCATTAGGGCATTGCATAAGTTAAAAATTGGCTTTTAACGAAATGAAATTGTTTCGCATGAATTATTAAAATAGTAATAGCATAAACAAAACAGGGTATTTGAAAATTATCGATAACCGCCAGCGGTTAAAGAAAATTATTAAAGACAAAAATATATTGGATATATTACCAATAAATATTGATTGGCATATTTTGCAACTATATACATAAAAAAAGAAAGAGCTGTTTTGGTAATATATTTTTGTAGATGCATTTTTTTTTTTTTAAATGAATTATTATATATCATTATTATTTATGCAAAACAGTAAATAGCCATTAACAAATACATGTGTATATGTAAATATTTAATGAAACAGCTTTCAATAACTTATAAAAAAATACAAGAAAAATCCAGCTTTAGTAGACACATATTCACATAATAGAAAAATGCATATATAAGTGTTATTATATAATCATTTATATATTAATGTAATTCATACATGATTATAAAAGTACTAATAATATAGCTTCTAGAGTTCTGGCCGTGGCCAGCATCACTCAAGTCCTGAACGTGTGCGGTTTTAGCGCTCTCACGCAGTCTCCATTGGCTTTCAATATGAGTGATACGGCTGGGAGAGAAGCGAGTCCTGCTTTGCCTTTCACATGAGAGCGGCAGAGCATGATTCAGGGTTTCCCGTGCTGAATTTAAATTTTGCATAAAGGTACAAATTACAAATGTGTGACAAGTATTTATTTATTTTATTGTTTTTTTTAATTGTTATATTAGTTGTATAAATATGGTATGAATATATGAACACAGAGCCATAATATTCTACTATTATTCTTCCAATAAAATAAAAATAAAATAATAACAATGGCCACATAAGTCTATAAGAAATAAGGGAGGCCATTAACTCAAGATGCATGTTAACTCTTTAGCACTACAAAACATTGAGCATTTATCACAAGTTACATAAATACCCCTAATGTAAAATAAACCAATGTAAAAAAAAAAAAATAAAATAAGAAAATTCATTGCAGTATATTTAACTCGGTAGCAGGTTCCATTTAAGGTTGTTTCCTTATAAATTAATTTACATAATATACAACTCACTTATATATGCATAATCTACCAAGTACAGGATAAGGATATAGATTCCATAAGTTATAGCTTAAAAAATGGTGTAAATGTACAGATATATTTCATTTAATTACTTTAAAATATTAATTTGCTCACATAAGCCAATCAATCATAAAAGTTAAAATACAATTAAATATACATATACTTTTTTTTTTATAATTTCAGAACTTTTTTGAAGGTGCAAGAAGGTACTGTTTACGAGGAGAATGGAATTTAAGCAGCTTGCTTTGAATGAAAATAATCGTCAACAATAAATTCAACAGTTGATGTTTTATTAATATATATATATATATATATATATATATATATATATATATATATATATATATATATATATATATACAGTAGTACATCCGCCAGGACTGAAATTCCTGGTTAATCTGTAGTGATGAAAAACACCCAAATACTAATATAACACTTATGGGCAATTTTCAGGATAAATTTTTAATAATTTTGACGGAATTTAAACACAATTTTCTAAATACCCCACATTCTATAGGCGCTCAGCTTTATCTGAGCAAATAGCCAAGATCAGAAGTGCTTTTTGCTCAGTAATTAAAGCTAATAATTCGGTTGTGTGAATTTGTTTTTTTCTTTTCCAACTGTCTTGCTATAAAGTCAAATGTGAATTACAATAAATGAAATAATTTGAACAGGTAGCAAGATAATATACGAGGTGGTAATGACAATAAAGGTACATGCTCAACGTATAAGAAACGGAATTCTCAAATGGAATTCTCTTGACCATCAGTTAATCTTGATAACCAGCTAGGCGGAGTTCTACTGTATAAATGTATATAAATATTCCAAAAGGTTTAACACTACAATTCAATGATTGTAGTGAAATTGAATAATATCGATGGTATTTAAGCCAATCTACAAAAAATATTTTAATTATTAAGAAATTTTAAAGAATTAATTTTATTTATAAGTTAGGGAAAACCTATGTGCCACTGTTTAAAATTTATAATAACAGAATGGAGAAAATTGAGACGAACTGTTTTCTATAAAGGGAATATTGCCAAAAAAACCCATCGATATTATAGATTACAAACATGAATAATTTCTTGGCCAAAAAATGCGGACAATATCATGATAATATAACAATTGGCACTGAAATGACTAATACACACACTACATACATTTTTTAAGCTAAATTTTTTTAATAGTAATTTTAACAAAACGTGATATAGGTTAACAACATAATATATTAATTTTAATTCTAAGCAACATTCTAACCATAAAACATGAATCACTAGCATGACAAATTTTAATCACCAAGCTATCAACAATTAAAAAACTAAATAAAATCAATAATTCGCTGTTTTCAAAATTTCAATATCGTCAGTCTCAATGTGATAATGTTTTGAATTTGTATTATTTTATTTTTTCCTAAGTTTTATTCATAGCGATTAATCGTTAATTTTTTTTTCTATTCGATACTATATTGCTTGTACGTATTTAAAAAAAAAAAAAATTCAATTTCACATTGAAACCAACAATATCATGTTGTGCTTGATAAAATTGAATATTATACCTATATATGTTATGTTCCTAGGTCTCAAAGCTAATAAAAAAGAAATAAAATAAAATAATATTAAAATGAGAAAAAAAAAGGCAGTCTATAGGTAACAAAGTGAACGCTTCAAACCTGATGGAAGATCTTTGCTATGAGGTATCAGCTTATTTAAAAAAATGTTTTTTTCCTCATAGACAATACCTTCTTATGCCAATAACAGACTTTGGCTGATCACAAAATAAACTGACAATATGTTGGATGAAACTTTGACAAAGAGGATCTCATTTTAAAATAGATTGGCGAAAAGTTCGCAATAGGTAAATTCATAAAAGGAATCAAGATGAATTAACAGCAACTATTCTTTTTTTTTGTTGATAATGTAATAGAAATTAATTAAAATTAAAAACCACACAAATATATAGTAAAAACCCAAAAAAATAATAAAAGCTTTTAATAAATAGGAATTCATTTATTAAAACATATTAATCACCAATAGGGGATAAAATATTTCATAATAAAATAAAAAAATTGGACAAATTGAGTTTACACTCAGAAATCGCAACAAAGTTGTCTATGTTCAAAATAAATTTCACTGCCATCTGTTGAAAAATAAAGAAACTAACAGTGTGACACATTTTTAACTACAGACAACTTTTTAAAGTAATAGGAAAGCTTTACTTAATTTATAGCTATTTTAATGAGAGTTAAACATGAAATTGTATCATTTATATTATTAGTAAAAATCTGTTCTTTGTGTTTAACACGTTTGTACCCATTATTTCAGAAACGACATATGTGAAATTTTCATACTTTTTTTAGAAAAAAACAACACTAAAAATCTAAAAAATATACATAGTGTTAACAAATTTGCATTATTTATGTTGGTTTTAGCAATGAATATATCATTAAATGATAAGAATTTTTTTTGTTTAAAATTTTACCGTTATGTTTCTGCCTTTTTTATTTATTTTTAATATAATAATGAATAAAACATGTTTTTAAATAACCCTCATTAATGTTTTTAGTAATTATTTAAATTTCTTCATGGCAAGATGAGTTTAACATCTTTTGAAGATCAACAAATAATCATTTAAAAAAAAAAAAAAAAAAGAATTAAGGGTTCACAAAACAAAGTTGTTGGGATATGGTAAGCTGAAGTAAATATATCGTTACCAATTTAGTTTGAAGTAAGATTTGACAAAAGGTTGCATCAACCGTCGAAGAGTATTGAACAAGCCAGAATTGTGTATCATAAGTCAAAAAATTAAAATAACATTCTACATGAGATCACCTACCTTTTAGATCACTTTTGAGAAATAAAAACACAAAAAAAGTTAAAAAAAAAAATCTGCCAAAGAAAAATAATATCGAGTAGGAAAGCTGCTTCAACAAATGACTGCTTATCATTTTTTCCAAATATTCAGTCCATAAAAAAATTAAATTACCGGTTTTTATACAACTAATAATCAATAGCAGGCAAAAATCTAAACCCTCTTTGTCAGAGATATATGTTATAAATATCCAAACATATTCAGTTAGTGAATATAATAAAATAAATTGCGGATAATTCCTGATATTCCTCTATTCATGCCTGACAGCTACGATTGATATGAAAGTATTAGGGTGGTTTAGTTGGCAGACTGGAACTAGTGTAGCGGCTATATTGAACTCACTGATCTTTGCAAGGACATCGTAGAGCGAAGAAGGCGGCTGAGATCTTCCGGTACGATAGAACAAAGTGAGGTTACAAGGTGGCGGAGGCGGAAGTAATCCTTCTTCGTCGGGCCCGTTGGGGACAACCCCTCGAAAGAGCCTTTCGAGAGCGTAGTGCAGCACTTCCAGGAGTTGCGTTTCCGACAGCAGGCTGTCCCAACTACCAGCTCCGCTTCCTTCACTAATTACTGGATTCGAAACTGATGATGCTGTAATATATTTATTGAAACACAATAATTAAAAAAATAAATAAATTTATTCAAATTAACAACTATATTAGATAAAAAATACAACTAGTAAATTTGAATTGATAATATAACATGTACAACATGAAGAGCAACTATCCCTTGGTGCCACTCCAATTATAGTTCTATATTAGAAGGTCCTGAGGCCATCTTCTTGGAAACCTCCGAGGGCTATCAAAATTGAGAGGAAGCAAGCTTAGAAACAAGAAGGCTCAGATGGTTAAGAAGTTTATTATGTAAGGATACATATCTGGATTAAGCTAATCGGAAATAAATGATACATTAAGGTCGTTAAGGATGATTTAATTTGTGACAAAAAAGTAACGAACATCGAGGATTTTATGAAGGAATTTGGATTGTAAGGGTTGGATACGAGAGGAATTTGGTGGTTTAGTGAAGCCCCAAAGCTCAATTTTGTAAGACCTTATATAGTAATATACCTAGTTCTGCCATAAATACTGTTACAAAAGTTGAACTTAGGTTTACATCCTTTTGGAGTGCTACCAGTGGGTGGTTTCTCAACAAGCGTGTTTCATGTAATAATATTTCTCTGTACAAATTTACTAGATGTATTCATACTAATACAGTTGTAAATATCATAATAAAAGTTTAAAAAAAAAAAGTTTACATCCTTGGGTATTATTTAGATAATCCTTAAGTCTATCAGGTTATTTTCTTTATATGTCATGATAATAATCCCAATTAGTTTATATTTTTCTTTCCCTCAGTTAACATGGAGAGGGGTGATAAAGAAAACCGAATAAATGTGATCGCCTTACACAAAGTTGGAAAATGTAGGTTAGAGATTTTCAACACTTTGAAACCTTAGGGTATCAGCCATATGTTCGTGTACCGCACTATAAATTATTATAAAGACCCTATCTGTACGTGACAGACTTCGACCGGGGCGTTCCCGCACTGTGAGAAGGGCAATGCAGTGGCTGCTCGATCCAGAAGAAATCCCATTCGAAAACAACATATTATGTCTCGCATAATAAAAAGTGACCTTAGGATGGGTGCATTTCAAAGAATGACAGGATAAAGGCTAACCACTTCCCTACAAAAAAATAGAGTCGATAGATGCAAAGTGCTCCTTGGGTGTTATACCAATGGTCTTCATCGAAAGATTTTGTTTAGCGATGAAAAAATTTGTACAATCGAACAAAAATTTAATCGCCAAAATGATCATGTGTAGGCACACAGCTCTAAAGAAGCCAAAGAAGTCATTGAAAGAGTGGAAAGAGATCATCACCCTTCCTCAGTGATGGTTTGGGGGGAGTTTGCTTTGATGGCACCACAAAGCTACATTTTTATGAAAAAGGAGTTAAAACAGCCGCTAAAAACTATCAGGGCGATATTTTGGAACCTGTTGTCAAGCCTCTAAATGATACTCTATTAGATGGAAGTCATTGGGTTTCCCAGCAGGATTTCACTCCAGCTCACAAGGCCGGGTCAACTCAGCAGTAAAAGTGGTAAAACTCAGCAGTGGTAAAAGAACATTCCAGAGTTTATCTCTGCCTCGAATTGGTCCTCAGGAAGCCCTGATCTCAACCCACTAGATTATTGGCTTTGGTCCGAACTGGAGAGGATGGTATGCCACGGAGCACACCCTAAACCTTAAACAATCTCTGGACACTAGTGATATCTAGTATCTAGTGAAACTCCTAGCTGAACACACCTCCTTGAAGAAGACCTGCAAAGTCGGGTTGAAACGTTGGGTTTTAATAAAATAGTTTTGTCACTATTTATGACCGCCACCCACCATCTCCTTCCTTTAAAAAATAAATTCAATAAATAAAAATAAAATTTCAATTTCAATTAAAAATTGAGCTTAAACTATTTAAAATTATTTATAAGTAATACAAAATACTCATTCAAAAGAAAAAGTATTAAATGTTTAAAACGATATATCTCTGCAAGAAATAGTATTTTTTTTTATTTTGTAGAGAATTCAGGAAGCTTTCAAATATATATCAGTATTATCAATAAAAAAATGTGTACTTTTTGAGTTATTCGCAAATAACATACTGAATTCAGCATAAAAATTGATACAGCTTATTTACGGGAAAGTATGTTATATACAAAAATTATAAATGTTTTAAGGGGAAGAATTTAGCCACATTTCACTAAAATCGTTGCAGCCATTTTGCCGCTACAGTCTAAAGTGAATCACGTTATTCGGCTGCCATTTTGAAAGAAAAGGCCTGATGATAATGAAACGTATAAAAAAGCACTCCTAAATGTTATTGCGATGTTGTGTCAAAATTTCAAAGACATTTTGAAAAATTTTTGGAGATGAGCTGTTTTGAACAAACTCCTATTTATATTGAAGAAAATCGATCGAATAATAGAGAATAAAAAGGAGCTGAACCGTTTTGTGTTTGCCTATTTATATAATAATAATCCCTGAAACATAAAGAGTTGGTTATATTAAGCATTGAGAATATTTTCACAACATATCTGAATATTACATTACAGTCCATTTAATCAAATCCCGAACAATTAAACTAAATGCAAATGCCTCAAAAAAACATGATTCAAATGTTTCGTAGCCCTGTTCACTGAATACTATTTAACATAATCTGATTATTTGATTTGTATTTACTGAAATTTAATTAAATAAATAACTCATTTAATTGACATTTCTAATTGATAAATATTTGACCAATTTTATTTTTTTATAAATATAACTGACTCAATCGTAACATTTTATTTAAGGTTGTAAAGAAAAATGAGGAATATGCAGAACATTTATTTTTGCACAATCGTTATTTATGAATATTTAATCAGTGAATTAATTCTGTTTATATTACAAAAAAAACAACAAAAAAAGAAAACAAAACAAACAAACATGAAACCAGCAAAAAGTGGGAGAATTACTTATGAGTTGGCTAGTATAACCAATGAAACAGCACATATAGCTTCGTTTCTACTAAGAAATTAATATATATTTTGTTAAATTTTACTTGTTTAAAGCTGATACAGGTAATTTAAAGCTTAAGTTATACTCTATTATAATTTTTAAAAAGATATTATTATTACATTAGTTAAGTTTGTGTTTAATCAACATTACCTAATTGCTGAGTAAAGGAAAGTGGTAGTGTTTGCTAATTAATGGTTTCTTTTATGAATTAACATTTAACGGAATATAACCATAAATGTTTTAATATTTTCTACATAATTGCTATTCTAAGGTTTAACACCTTATTTTTATTTTTTTAAAACTTAAATGACCAAAGAAACATTACCAACCAACCTTCAAAATATTTACTACTTCAAATTAACACTATAAAAAAATATACTTTAATTATTTTAAATGAGAAACTGCCTAAAATTCAATAATATATTTTTTCATCTTATTTTGCAATTCTAATGTTATATTTTCTGATAACTTGTGAAATTGTCTTGTCACCGTTTCATTTTTTTTAAAAAGTAAAAAACAATCTAATAATTATTCTCTGTTACTTCCATTTAGTCCAAATCTGTATTTCAGACCCCACTCTTAAAGTTTATTGCAAGGTATGATAACTACTCTTCTAGGTTATCTTATTTCTGATGCTTTTAGATTTATTTTATAATTAAAAATATTATGACAACATATTTTTAATGTTATATTTTACAACACATTTTAACAACATGCTGTTTACTATTTTCACATTTTTGCCTTATTTAATATTTTTACATTATAAAAATCAAAATAGTGTTGTTTTTTTTTGGTCATTGCATATTTATTATTTAAAAGCAGTTGTGTATATAGTATTATAGATGCCCTTAGAAAAATAAACTTTAATTATTAATTGACATTTATTATTTTATTGATCAATTCATTCTTTCAGAACAACAATTATACTTCTGAAAAATAGAATTCATCGAAGGAAGAATGACTAAGAAGAAATCCAAGTATAGGAAATATCTTTCTAAACACAGTGAGTAATATATTGATAACATTTGAAGGTTATTATTAGGTTACATTATTATCAAGTTAAAGGTTATTAATTTTTAGTGAACCAAGCCTCCCTTTGAGAATTTACAAAGTTGTATAATCTTAATTTTAATTGGCACCAAAAGATGGAGCTTAGTAATATGTTTACTAATAATACATTTATTAACAATATAAACAGAATGCGACTACATTCAGTTATTACTTAATTTCATACTACAGTAAACCCCCCCCCTCCCCTCCCCCGTATGCATAGTGAAAGATAAAAAGATATAAAAAAAAACAAATAAAATACAAATATGAATACCGTTCACTGCAATACCATTGAAGAAAAAAATAGTAGGTGTTTTAATTTTGTTTAGCATAATGCTTTTTGATACACAATATTCTGTCTTTAGCTAACTATAATCGTACAATAGACTGATATGAACTTAGTTCAAATTTGAACCGAGGCCAGTTGAACTCGAATTAGAGATGACCTATTATATCCAACACTTAAATAGGATACAAGGAACTAAGAAGGATTGTTGGATGTTAACGTGTAAAAAAAGATTGTTGGCTTATGGTAGGATTTTTTAACTTATATGCTTTACACTGAGCAGTTTTCTTAACTTGCTTGCTCTAATTGCTCTAACAGATAATAATAATAATAATACTTTATTTATTCTGGGATGAGAATAAAACAGAAAGACAGAGTAATTAAATAGTCATAATAAAAAAAAAATATAAGTTACTTTCTAATTTTCATCAGTTAATAATAAAAAATTGAAAAATATTATAAAGGATGATCTAATAATTTATATACATATTTATAGTAGTATCTATTTACAATTTTATGGGGAAAGAAATAATTGAACAGGCAAGATTTAAAGGTAGGAAGGGTATTGGTTTGATGGATGTGGGAAGGGATGGAGTTCTACAGGGATGAGGATCGGATAACGAACGTTATGTCTAAAGCAGCAGTTCGATGGGCCCTTATGTATAAATCAGAAGACCGGGAACGAGTATTGCAGGAGCGAACAAAGGATTAGAATTGAAGGAGCTCGGAGATGTATGAAGGGAATGTGGGATTGGATGAATTGAAAGAGGAAGGATGCCAGGAAATACTTAAACCGGTAGAAAGGATAAAGCCACTTCAACTCTGCATAAAACAGGAATCAGAGGCGTCCCTTGGAATCCAGAAGATGAATTGTACAAAGCAATTTATCAAACGTTTTAGTTTAGCCTCAAGATCTCCAGAGACAGTTTTTGAAGGAGAAATAGGTGACGGGAGTAATTTAGATGTTTTAAGATGGAAATGGTATGGCAGGAGTTATTGGATACATGGTTTTTCCAGGAAAGCGTATGATCTGACAGTGATAGTGATCCGAATTAATATTTGATTCTCAGTTTAATATTTGACGCACATTTAGTATACGAGACCTGTATCTCCTATTTATTAGGATAAATACTCCTGTACTTCTTATGGTCTATCTGGTTTACAAGTTTACAATGATTCCATCATTGGAGTGCCATATCGAAAGATGTATTCTCTTGTGGCAAAACATAACTACCACAATGTCCTTCGCTGTCGAAAAGGCAAAGGTCCTTTGCTAATCAATCTCCATTATCATTTATGACTTCACATAGTAGGAATAGTATGTTTCCTGAACACAAGGAATGCTGTTATAGTTGGGTCAAAAATCTCAATATGTTGGATCAATCCTATAACCTAACGAAATCCCTTTAGATGGTTAGTTTTTCAACCTAAGAAGTTGGTTAAGAAAAATTTAACCGCGTAAAAAGGCCTTAACAATTATTTATTTTAATATTACATCACCTCAAATCAATATTCAAAGAATAAAAAACATACCCATCGAAACATAGCATACAACTGCAGAAACTGTATTTTCATAATTCCACCTTCTTCTTAACGAAACTCGATTTTCACCAACCACACAGCCAGTCTCCTCATCTGAATTAAAAATATATATTAATGGTCACTAATACATGATACATTTTTAAGACAATAAATAATTTAATGATTATATAATATAAACTGAACAAAATATATTACAGAAACTAACATTCGAAACGAGTATTTCCCCTGTGAGCCCAGACTTGCCATTCGACGAGGGCACTCCTAGGAAGTTCAGGCACGACAACGTATTCAACTATGGCGTTATTTGTCCTTCTTTCCCATTCCTTTCGCGCTTCGCTTATGTAAGCGGCATGGGTTACATAACAAACACCCTGAAAAATAAAGTAAATTTAATAAAAACAATATGATAATATATACATATATCTGAGGATCATAAATCTAGAGTAGCAATTCCTTAAAAAAAATAAATAAATAAATAAAGACCTAAGTGAATTCAGCCATCTTAGGATGATATAACAATAATAGAGAACACTTTTATGGAGTTAATCAAGTTTTAATAAAAATTTTAACTTTTTTTTTTTTCCCCCGTTGATATTTACAACTGTATTATAAAAAAAACACAACTAGTAAATGTACACACAGTAATAATACAATCACATGAAAATGCTTGTTGAGAAACTACCCATTGGTAGCACTCTAATAATATATTTACATAAGTAGATCACGAGACCATCTTCTTTTCAGACGCCTCGGAGGGTTATCAGGGATCGAGGAGGAAGCAAGGTTTGATTCGAGAGGATTCGGATGGTTCTGGAGTTTGTTATGGAAGGATATGTATCTGGATTGGGCCAAACCGGAAACATATGGAACATTAAGGTTTTTATGGATGATTTTATTTGTGACAAAGTAAGGAGTGTTGAGGATTTTACGAAGGATTTTGGATTGTAAGGATTGGATATGAGAGGAATTCGATGGTTTAGTGGAGCCCCCTAGCTCAATTCCGTAAGTCCAAATAGGTCTTATTATTGTCATATATATGAGTCGTTTGTAATTGATTGAAAGCTTAGAGCATTTGTCTAGTAAGTGTTGGAGTAGTCGGAAACGTCGAGCAGTTTCTAGTCGTTTCAGTCTTGTATGAGGATTCCATGTGAGTCGTTTGTCCAGGTGGAGTCCTAGGTAACGGATTTGTTCAACTGGGATAAGTGGAGAATTATTGAAGGATACTGTAGGACAGGAGGTTATGGGTTTGCGACGCAGGATAAAGGTAATTTGATGGGATTTATTGGAATTTATTTTAATTCTCCAGTTTTTACACCATTCTTCAAGGTTTGTGATATGTGATTGGAGAGTTTGGGATGCAGTTGATGGATCATTATTAACAGATAGGATACATGTGTCATCTACATATGTGGTGATGAAAGTGTCATGATGGGTTGGGATGTCACCTGTATAAACTGTGTAAAGGGTAGGCCCAAGGATACTACCTTGAGGAACACCAACAGACTGGAAAAAAGGGATGAGTAAGAGTTTTTGTGATTTACTTTAAACCATCTATCAGTAAGGTAGGAGCGGATGATGAGGAAGTATGTAGGTGGCAGGAATTTAAGGATTTTGTACATTAGTCCAGGGTGCCAGACCCTATAAAACGCCTGTTTAACGTCGAGAAAGACTCCCGTGCAGTACAATCCGCACTCCACTGCAGAGGAGACTACCTCCACCCCATGATGACATTGCTGAATAGTGGAATGAGATATGCGGAATCCAAATTGGTGGTCTGGAGTTATTTGATTAGAATCTAGGATGGAATACACGCGTTTTAAGATAAGTTTTTCCAAGATTTTTCCCATGATGGGTAAAAGTGAGATAGGACAGTAAGAGGATGGGTATTCTGGAGGTTTTTTTGGGTTTATGTATCATTTTAATAATTGATAGTTTCCAAGTGCCAGGAAAATATGTGGATCGGGTACGGCATTAAAAATGTTAACTTAAATTTGATTTATTTTATTGAGTAGAAACACTCCTTTATTTGTAATAATTTTCAGATTCAATAGTTTGCCATTGTATCAACGATATTATATATATATTTTTTTTTGACATGATAAATTTATATAGATAAAGAAATCCATCTACAAGTATAAACCAATTTAATAATTACCTGAACGACATCTCTCAACTGGGTATCTTTATCCATTGCCTTGACTAACCTCCCAACGTGCCTTAACGCTAAACGGCACTGCCTTTTAATTCCTCCACTGACTAGCACCATGCTTCCTGGCACGAGGCCAATTTGGCCAGCAACGTAAATTATATCTCCGACCTACAACAAATGAACAATAAGTATACTCGCATATAAATATGATATCTTTTGCGATATTATTACTAACGTATCAACAAAAGTAGCTTATAGTAACATAATTTTTTTATTAAACAAACAAGGAAATATTTTTTACTCTAATAATTAAAATAATCGATTTACAAAATGTAACCTGGTAAATACACATTTAAAATCCAACTTATGATTTCTTGCAAGACGTCAAAAAAATATTCTTATAGTAATGTATATATATATATATTTTTTTAAATTTCATAGAATTTTGTCCAGTTCTGGAAATGAACTTCCTTAGAACATTCAATTAATTTAAATGGATTTGTTTCTACTCTGATACAAAGTTATTGCCAATCATTTGGAATTTCGATGTACAATTTCTAATTAAAGCAGGCCATATTCTAAATTCCATTTTTATGTTTTAGAGGCCTTATAATCCAGGTCACCTGATAAGCCTACACGACCCTACCCAAACAAAATCTATCGAAACAGAAAAAAAAAAAAAATATATATACATAGGATGACTCAGTTCTTAATTGCCAAACTCTGGGAGGTAATTTTAGAAAAAAACATCCAACAAAAAAGTCTGTTTATGGGCCAATTTCGAATGGAAAAGGAGTTAAGTGCAACTTTTCTCTTTCATAGGGAGTGATAACACAAAAATTATTTAATTCGATTAGTATTAAATGTTATGTATTTCTACTGAAAATTATATATTATTATCTGAGTATCTGTATACTCTGGAGTGATGGAATATCAAATCACATAATTTTTCACAAGAACAGAGGTGAATTTCAACTCTATTCTAAAACAAACCTCAAATTGATATACAATTAAAGCTTATCAAACAAGGAAGTTTTATACAAGTGGGGTATCTGTAGTATACATACTTAGTTCTGCCATAAATCCTGTTACAAAAGTTGAACTTTGTTTATATTCTTGGGTATTATTTAGATAATCCTTACCTCTAACAGGTTATTTTCTTTACATGTCAGGATAATAATTCCAATTAGTTTGTATTTTTCGTTCAGTTAACACGGAGTTGGGTGATAAAGAAAACCGAATAGCTGTGATCACCTTACACAAAGTTGGAAAATGTAGGTCAGAGATTTTCAACACTTTGAAACCTTTGGGTATCAGCCATATGTTCGTTTATCATACTATAAGTAGATATAATGAAACCCTATCTGTATGTGACAGACCTCGACCGAGCAGTCCCCACACTGTGAGAATGGCAAATGGCAGTGGCTGCTCGAATCAGAAGAAATCCTATTCGAAAACAACAAATCATGTCTCAGGAAATAGGAATTTTTGTCAGATCAATGTCTCGCATAATAAAAAGTGGCCTTAGGATGGGTGCATTTTGAAAAATGACAGGAAAAAAGCTAACCACTTCTCTAAAAAAAATTAGAGTGGATAGATGCAAAATGCTGCTCAGCTGTTACACTAAAGGTCTTCATCGAATGATTTTGTTTAGTGATGAGAAAATTTTTACAATTGAAGAAAAATGTAATCGCCAAAATGATCGTGTGTATGCACACAGCTCCAAAGAAGCCCAGGAAGTCATTGGAAGAGTGGAAAAAGGAGTTAAAACAGCCACTAAAAACTATCAGGACGATATTTTGGAACCTGTTGTCAAGCTTCTAAATGATACTCTGTTTGCTAGAAGTCATTGGGATTTCCAGAAGAATTCCACTCCAGCTCGCAAGGTCAGGTCAACTCAGAAGTGGCTGTAAAAGAACATTCTAGAGTTCATCTCTGCCTCCGATTGGCCCTCAGGAAGCCCTGATCTCAACCCACTGTTGAAATCTATATATATTTCCTGGTAACATTATTTATGAAAGGACTAGGTAGTTGTAAGATGATAAAAAAAAAAAAAAAATCACAAAGAATCCATTATTTAATGAAAAACACAACTTAAGATAGTTTGGCTGCTCAAAAGTACTATTTAAATGGTTTTGACAAAGACAAACTCTAATTATATTTGAAGGAAATTTTGTCTTAATAGTGGTTAAATAGTTGACTGTCGTGAATAATGAGAGAAGAATAGTTGGGGTGATCAGTCAAATCAGAAGGCAAAAATAAATGATAATATTTATTTTGTCATTTCCCGACGTTTCGACCTGAAGTTGAGGCCATCATCAGGGCTAAGAAAAGAACCAGATAACAAGGTATGAGAAACATAAAAATAACAGTAAAATGAAGTTGTTAGAATAATGACAATAGTAAGAACAAGAGACAAATAATAATAACAAGTACAAAATGTTGAATGATGAAGTAAACATAGTCAAAAAGGTGACATAAGTATTGTAAAGGGAATCTTAGAATAAAATGTAAAACAGAAAAATATGAAGTTATATAAGAAATGGAAATAAATAGTAAAATTAAGATATAGTGATTAGAATATTTAGATAGAAAATTGAGATGTTGTAAAATCTATCAATATGTACAGACAAAGTATGATATAATAAAGAGTTTAAATAAGAAAAGGAATGAAAGGAAGGAGGAAAGAAACTGAGAAGGTTGAAATAAGAAAGAGAATAAAAAAGAGAAGAGATAACACACCTGACTGCTCTAAGGTTGAAGATGCAATGCTCGTGTTATTGAAGGAGGGGGTGGATAGAAAGGATGTAATAGTGGAGTCATCTTTTATTCTATTATTATATATATATATATATATATATATATATATACACATATATATATATATATATATATATATATATATATATATATATATATATATATATATATATATACAACCTCTTTTAAAAACCTGTACATTAAAGAGAAAAAAATGGGTCACCATAAATGTCCAATATACAGAGGTTTCACTGCGTTTTAATTTGAAATAAAATAAAAGTAAATGAGAGAGAATCACTTTATTATCATAAAATAAAATAAAATGGTGCTGCCCAATTACATTGGGTTGCTAACAACACAGCATACTTATTAATCACTACAGACATTATTTAAAATTATTATACAATTATAGGATTAACAATATGTATGAGCATAGTATACAATATTTTATACGTATATATATATATATTATTTTTTTTTCCTTTTTTTTTTTTTTTTTTTTTTTATAATTTTTACTATTTCTTTCATTCATTTATTATCATTCTGTACCCTTTCTCTTCCTTCTCTCCCCCTATACATGTTCCCACTCACATTCTCTCCTCTCTCTTTCTAACCTAATACATAAAAAATTCATAAAGTACAGTGGACGTGTTCAATAAATAATAATATAAAAAATGCTGTAACACACGCATGCCTCCCCCTCGCGAGCAAACTCTCCCCCTATCCGCTCCCATGCACATGGTGGTGGATGATTCCCAGGGAGTCGAGGATTATACTCTCTGCCAACCTTGCCACGTCCTTTATGTCGACACCAAGGCCCTCCATGAAGCTCCTTGTTGAGTCTGGTATCGTTCCGCGAGCTCCGAACCAAAGGCCTCTCACGTGGAATTCTCTCGGCCCGAAACTCTCGCGGAACTTTTCACTAAGGAAAGGGATGCATTTCTCATATATCTGTTTTTTCTCCCTTTCCACTTTTTCTGCCTGATCGAGGTCGTTGGTCTCATATCTCACGGTCGGATCCAAAATCATCGCCGACTTTCCCGTCTTAGAGAATGCTACAATGTCGGCATATCGGGTGGATCCATCCGTATCTATACAATATACTTCCTCGAAACAGGCGTATTCTCTCTCTTCAAGGAGCCTCATCAGTTCATGCTTGACTCTGTGGTGACGGCGTGTTATAAGGAGGGAGTTGTTGGGGCATTTTCCAAGCACATGTGCTGGTGTTTCTGGCTCTCTGTCGCATTTGCGACAGAGGGACCCAACTTCTCTTAAAAATTATATTAAAAAAAATTATAAAAATTATTAAGAAAAATTTAATTTAAAATTATAAAACTACAAAACTAACCCTGATAGCTTGACTGTAAGGCCCAATATTCGCCGGGGCCCAGTGAGAAAGAGACTGGACGTGCATTGTGTGTTTCTCGTTCGAGTAAGCTAGAGCATTAATAACTACGGGAGTCCCTTCGTTGAGCCTAGTACCGAGGCAGACTCGGACCGGAGGGTTCGGTCCCTCAATTATTTTCAAGTAGGCTGAATTAATTTCGCTGTAGCTAGACATGTCTCTCACGTACATACAAATCCTTACTAAGTTAGAGGTATTGAGATCCTTTTCGAGGAGCAAACCTAAAACAAAGGAAAACAAAAATATTATTAACATATTCATTTAATCTGTCTGTGATTAAATTTGCTATCTGCAAAGCTTTTTTTCTTTTTGCAATAAGAAAATCTGTACACTACCGTAAAGACGTTAAATTAAGAGGTCTTTAGACTACCACCTCAAAAGTCATCGGGATGGGATGTACAGGTGGTGGAATTAAATATTTGGGCTAATGGGTTCATGTTGTAATTCAGTCTCTGGTGGAAGTTTTTGCAGTATTGTGTTGCATTATCTGCAGCCGTTTGAATGTCGAAGTCTTTGTTTAATAAGTCATTTGTCACACAGAAAGTGCGTCTGCAATTTTTTTTTTTTTTTTTTGCAAAACTTTGATTAAGAAATTAATAAATAAAAGGTTATACTAAAAGATGATTTAGAAATATGTAATTTTTTTTTTCTGTTGGCTCTGCAGACCTTGTAGTTTTTTTTGTGGCTTTGATTAGCCTTCTCTATCAAGAGTTATTACTTTCCAATTATATTCATGCAACTTTGCTGACTATTTTTGTGATCTCATGCCTACTATTGAGGCATTCGTTATTATGTAGAGACTTCACGATTGCTTTGAGCTACATGCCTCACCCATCTTAACCTTCATATTATGTGGTACTGATCAACCAGTTTCCATAAGCAAATCTTTATCGGAGGTTCTTTTCCATGTGTTAGTAATCTGATCCTATGTCACTCCCTTCAGTTATTTACAGTTATAATTGTTACCCCTTCAATTAATTCATGGTGTTCCTCAGGACACCTCACCAGGATCAGAGGATCCTTTTCTCTATTTAAATTAGTGATCTTCCTGATGCCATTCAAACTTCAGTTACCATCTAGTATGCTGATGATTTCCTAATTTACCAATCACTCCAACCTTCTGAGATGCCTGAGGCTACCAGCAAGCTACAAGAGGACTGCATCAGAAGGAACAGAAGGGTTGAAATAAATGAGTTAAAGCTGAATGCAGATAAAACTAAGGCTATTCCCATCGGGTCCAGACATATCATTAGTTCCCTACCTTATTTTCTTCAATAACCCCTCCCCCATCCATTTTTCCCTACAGTCAAAAATCAAGGAGTAACCTTTGACAGAACCTCTCTTGGAATAACCATATTTCCTAGATTACCCAAAAATTCATAACTTTCCTTAAAGAATTCCTAATATTCTGTGATTTTATTCCTCTAAAAACAAGACAGCTCCTCATAACGTCCCTTATATTCCCCTAGATTGACTATGGCTGCTTGGTGTATGAAGGAGTCTAGGAGGATAGGATATATCTTAGGGATTCCCAGGTTCTGGTACACCAAGATAAAGTGGCTTTATCTTACTTCCCGACAACAATTCCTTCTGGTGTTCTGTTCCACTACCTACTCCATATTGAAATTTCCACAAATATATAAATTTACTTGCTTTTGTACATTGTATAATTCAATCAATTGCACAATTGAAATTAACATTTAATTAGGCATAATTTTATAATCTAAGCCAGACTAATGCTCAAAATTATTTCTTATTTGTTACATAAATTAGGCCATTATTCACCAATATTTTACTTATTAGCTATTTTATTATGACGTTTCGACCATCACTAGGGCCATTTTCAAGTCTTAATGAGTCCTCCATTAGATATTCCTTATTAATTTGTTCAGTGAAAAATTAAATTGCCCTGCTATTTCAGAGTTTTCCCTTCTGGAGGGACTCTAACGTAATGACATAGGGGAAACTCTTAAATAGCAGGACAATTTAATTTTTCACTGAACAAATTAATACGACATTAATAATGAATATCTTATGGAGGACTCATTAAGACTTGCAAATGGCCCCAGTGATGGTCGAAATGTCGTAATAAAATAGCTAATAAATAAAATGTTGGTGAATAATGGCCTAATTTATATAACAAATAAAACCTCAAGACACCAATTTTAGGAATAATGAACAGAAGTAAAATTATTTCTTCATTCATTCCTTTTATCATTAGAAGGATATTTCTCTGAATATTTCTAGAGTTTACTACTTATATTTTCAGAGAAATAGAATATAAGAAAAAAGCAAGGAAGGAATTTAAAAAAAAAAATGCTAGAGACAACTTTCATAACATCCATAATTACAGAAATTCCAAAAAGTGTGTAATGAATAACTTTTTTCTCTCCAATTCCTTATAAATTTATGCTTGCCACACTTTTGGTAATAAATGTTTGTCTTCCAATTGTCCAATACTGAATTCAAAGAGCCCAAATAAAGGAAAACTTAAATCAAACTCTTTAAACTATTTTCGTACTTAACATTCAATAAATTAATTTCTTTTTTTATAAAAATTAAAATTAGTTTTGTTTTCAATTAGATCTGCATTAACCAAATCTCTAGACAAGCTCGGTCTGTATGAGAAGGACTTTACTGTAAAAAAAAAAAAAAATTCAGTTTATCAAATAGTTTAGTTGATATTTACAATTTAGTTTTCGTAACGCATCTTCCGTAGCAACAGCTACATCGTCATTAGCACCAGTGATTCCTCCAAACCAACACCAACCGCTAGCGTTAAGAGCTATGGAGGGTCTATAAGGAGTCGGATCGGCTTCTCTTATTTCTAAAATATCAGAAGTTTCCTAAAAAAGAGAAAAATAAATAAATAAAATACAAATTTTAATCCGAGATAATCTGACGGAATGAATCACTCAAACATATTTCTTACATCTTCAGTTTGATGTTCTCCGCTTCCAGCGTCGACTTCAGCATCGGTGACTTCGGTGTCAGTCACTTCAGCTTGGTCAATGTCTGTAATATAATCCTCAGCTGTTTTTATTTTATACCTCTGCAGTCGTTCTGCTAAAGTTGAATCTTCATCTACATCCTGTTACATAGATATCCAAGTGTTTTTAAAATTAGAATTTATGTGAAATTTTTCACTAAAATGGAAAAATGTTTTATGATAACTAGTAAGCCAGTGCGAAAAATTCGCACAGCATATTGTTATCAAATGCCAAATTAATCATAAAATAAAGAAATCAATTGTTACTTTATCAATAAATATAATTGATAAAGGAAACAAAAATTAATTTAAATCTTCATTATTGTTTGGAACCAACATGTTTACAAATATCAATAAGTTGTATCTTTTCTAAAAATTGTCCAATTTCGATTTTTTTTTCTTTTGTAGGGAATTTAGTAATCTTTTATATAATCATGGGCATAACCAAAGGAAAAGTGTGTAATTTTTTAGTTATTCGCAAATAAAGTTTGTTTTTTTTCATAACTTGTTTGCCTGAATTTTCGGGGTGATTGGACTAATTTGCCTGAAGGAGAAGGAAGCCTTTGAAATTGGTGACTCAATCTTGAGATTTGGTGAAAAACTAATGATGATATGGCTTGGACACCATCGATAAATAATAAAAACTCCTCCTCACTCGATCATAGAGGGCTCAAGTCGTCGAAATGAGACATGTATTCAATGAAAGTACTACAATTAACGTAAAGTTGTGTGGATGCGAACCCTATGCCTTGCGTTATCTCGAAAATATTAAGTTTTTGGCTTAAAACACAGGATCCGATAGTTCTGGAGGAACTATCCGGGTCTTGCTGTACGCATCAAAATCTTCAAGGTCCAATTTGTCCAGTATCGATCAACAGACCTACCACCGCTCCGGTATTAAAGCCTAGCAAAATGTTTGTATAGACTTTATTTATTTTAGAAAGAAAAACAAAAGTGGAGAATATGATTCACTAATCCCCGTGAAATTCTGAATCCAATGGTACCCCATTCATGGTATTTGAGCATGACAGGAGCTTATATTTGGTACAAAACCGATTTCGAGCCTTGCTGTAATAATATATGTGGGGATGTTTTGGTTTCTGTATATTTAAAAAGAAATGTATTGATGTTCAATGCTAAGAAGTGATTTATAGTACTAGATGTTTTAGAGATAGAAGTGACAATACATAGTTTAGACTAAAATTTCATATGGCTTCAAGTTAACTTTTTTTTAGAAAAAAAAAAAAAACAACACATCGCATTAAAAATCAGTACTCTTAATTAATTAAGCGATTGTAGGGGAGTAGGAGGGGGGGGATGACAGGCAGTTGAGCGTGATCTCAGTCTAATCACCTCCTAGCACAACTATTGACTAAGTACAGTACATCCTTATAAAGTACTGTAGCCAAGTGGCACACAACTTTCACTTACCACCCTTTTCTTAGCAGAAATAATAATAAAGAAAATAATAATTATTTTCAGACAAAGGGAAGTAAAAGTAAAAATTATAAACGCTATATTGATTTATATTTTTATTTGTTCAAGCACCCTTATATATACAAATTTTAATATTTACATCACTATAATCAATAAAATTGAATATTAAATAATAACAAAAACATTTAGGAAAACCGCATATGTATATGTATATAATATTGTCCAAGAGTGAATTAAATTAAGCTGATGTTACTAAGGAAGCCTGTTGTAATCTTTGGGTGAGCAATCGTATCCCTTTGGTTCCTTTATTATAACTATTCTTTGTTACGATCTCTTATTTCTCCTTTAGTTAATTATCAAATTCTTTCATAATTTATATTTAATTATTTTTAATATTAGAGATTAATGTGAAATGGTTGATTGTTTCAAACAAAAAAAATTGAAGGGTACTCGAGTCCACAGGTATAAGTATAAGCTGGACAATACAGCAGAGTATCGCTGAACAGACGCTACTCTTCCAGAAGTGCTGGATGGCGAGACATTGCCTAGCAGACAATGCGCAGGTTATCAAGAGAATGAGGCTGTACATAGCCCATCCATGAAATAATGCCTAGCAGTAGTCTTTTAGAAGGAGGAAAACAAGTGTAGGGAGGTGGTTTTAATGGGTAAGAATCCCATACATGAATAAGTACAATATTTTGAAAATTATCTATCCTTGCAATAAAAAAATAAACTACGTACAGGCAAACAAAAAACCTGTGCCATTACAATCCACGCATATCTTGGGTTGATTACTTCTTAAGGAATTACTGTTTCAAATTCTAAGGTTTAACATTACGAGAGAATTAGACTGATATACTGAGATACACTCATCTATCAGGTTTTTCCCTTACTCAATTAAGGGTACCCACTGTATAGAGACGGGATATCGCTCCGTACTCGAACCTTAGTGCCTTACTCACTCAACTACTCTGTTTCCTCTATATACACACACACATCAAATATTACTGAAGCATAACCGTGTTCCAAGGATTCCAAAAACGGACATAAAATGGCCACATCTCTTCTGATAACATTCGAAACAGAGACAAAAATCATTGTTAAATATTATTGCAATTAATAATAATAAAAAAATAAGCACATCCCTCTGAAAATTCGGGAAAAAAATGTATGACAAAAGGAATCTGTGCAAACTCAAAAAATATATAATTTATAGCCTTAGACTTTTTTTTCTTTTCGAAAATGACAAAAAGTTTGATAACCACGGATCTTTACAAATGAAAGGACATTGGGTGGAAAAGTGAAAAACCATAGTCACAGCCTCCAGAAAGTTCAGTTATGAAAGAAAGAGAAGACATTTTATTTGGAAATATCTCAGACATTTTTATATGGAGAAACAGAGTTCAGATTTGTATTTAGCACCTCGAAGAACCCACAAATACCAATTTTCATAGCAATCGAAAAACAAAAAAAGTTGATAACCATGGATCTTAATGAAGTTGATAACCATGAATCTTAATAAGTATCAAATGAAAGGGTATTTGATGGAGAAGTGGAAAACCATAGTAACATCATCCCAAAAAATCAGTGAAAAAAGTTATGTAAGAATGAGAAGAATTTTTATTTGCAAATAACCAATAATAATAATAATAATAAATAAATATGTCAGACATTTTTTTATTATTATTAATATAACTTTTATTATTAAAAGATGAGGTAGTCGACTGATATATTTATGAAAGCTTTAAAAGTTAGAGAATTAGGGAAATTTTAGAGGCGCGTCAAGATTGAAAGAGAATGTTGAGGGAAGTAAACAATTCTGATTAGTTGGCAATACTGTTAAAAGTGTTGAGAGAGGGGAGAAAACAGATGAGACATCAGTGGTGCCTTGTGTTCTGTATTTGTTTCAGTCTTCTCGTACAATTATATTATTGTTAAAATAAAATAATAGTTTATTAATAATTAACAGTGTTTATTAAAACAGTGAATATTCTTTATATAAATTATAAATCGTCACTTACCTCTTTAGGAACAAGACGTAACCGAGTGAAATTCAAGTACCCGACAGGAGCGATACCATCGTTTGAATGGATGACTGTCTCATAATCATCTCTATGGCATTAAAACATGAAAAGTTAGTTTTATTTTTTTTTTATATTAAACAAATTCCTAAGTAAAGAAATAATTAATAATCAGACGAGGCAGAAAAATAGCATATCATTAGTTTGGAAATATATGCAATATAAGAAAAAATTAAATATATTAAATATTAATTATGATTTATACATACAGGGTAAATATCACACCATGAATACACACACATAAATATATTTATAAAGCAAATTACTAAAATTCTTGTCTGTGAAGAAACCGCCATAATTGGCGAGGCAAGTTAATTTGTATGTCGGAGACTCATGGCTTTATATTTTGAATTGTTTCATTTATAATCTCTTTTCGAGTTTTTTTCTTATTTTAATAGTATAAATTCTAACTTAAACATTGCAATTTAACTTTAAACAAAAAATGTCCAATTATTTTCAATCAGTTTCATTTATATTTGTTTTAATAATTAAAGGTACCACTTCCTTCACTTTAATAAAAATCTGGTGTGCACATCACATGATTTTCATTTACCACTCTCTTCTTAGCAGAAATAAGTATTTTCAGAAAAAGGGGAAATGAAAGTAAAAATTATGGACACTATATTTATTTATTTATATTTCATTGTAAGTATTTTTATTTGTTTAAATACCCTTATGTAGACAAATTTTAATTTTTATATGCTGTATTCTATACAATTAAATATTAAATAATACCAATGACAGCATTTATGAAAACCGCATATGTATATGTACATAATATTGTTGGAGTCCGTATTATATTAAGCTCATGTTATGTATGTACTCTTTCGGGCGAGCTCATATTCCTTTGGTTTTTCCATTACAACTATTATCCGTTCCGATCTCTTATATCTCCTTTAGTTTTTTTTTTTGAGTCCTGCCCTTCCTTGCCGTTAAGGCTATACGGGATTTGCCCGGGCCAGGGAGTGTGGGCGGGGATTTAAAAGACTCCCCCAGCACCGGGATGCGAACTCGTGACAATTTTTATATCTTTGATTCATATATCAGGTTGCCGGGCAACGGCGGTGCAGTGCACACGCTTTAGCCCATTCGGCCACCCCGCCCTTATATCTCCTTTAGTTAATTATCTTGCTCTCGATTAATCTCCGCTGGCTTTAGTACCAGTGATGAGAGTAGAGTTGAGAGAGTAGCGAGAGTAGTAGAGTAGAGAATAGAGTAGAGAGAGTAGTAGAGTAGCGCAGGGTTCTCCTGGAGTTCCCTCGCCTGATTGTATATAGGTATGCATGTGTTTTTTTGCTTAGTTTTAATTTTCTTATTTTTAGGTTATTTTCTCTTATTATTTATTGTATATACTTTTGATTATTATTTCGCGTCTATTTATTTTATATTTGTTGTACATATAGTGTGAATGTCATCCTTCCTCACTATAACCAATGCACAAGAGACAATTGTTATAATAATCAATAAATAAAAAATGTTAATTATAAAATTCTTTCATATTTTATATTTAACTATTTTTTTTATCAAAGATTAATGTGAAATGGTTAATTATTTCAAATAGAAAAAATTAAAGGTACTTTAGAGAAAGCTAATATTGGAAATTAACCATTTAAGCTCTGTTAGAGAACATCAATGAGAATAAAATCTACATTATATTAAAAACTGCTTAATAATACACTGACATACTAAGCTTGATGAAAATTATTAGAGCCGTTTTTGAGAAAATCGTAACAATTTGTTAAATCGATTATTTATAAAGTACCACTACCGGTTTGCCGATTTAGACGAAAATGTTGCTGTAATATCCAAGGATTATAAAAATCTCAAATACGCAATTTCAGTTTCGTATGGCTTTTCGTTTTTGAGCTAGGCTATTCACATACACACACACAGACCATTTTACGGGACTTGGTTATTTGGACTCAGGGGACCTCAAAACATGTATTTCTGTTGAAAACTCAGATTCAAAAAATTTCATGATCGCAATACTTACCCTTACTGTATATTACATATATAGGTAAGTGAAAGTAAAAAATTATTCAGTTCCTTGCAGTTTTTAAGAGAATGCTCTATTGATTATAAAAGAGATGTAATACATGAATTTTAAATACAGAGAAGTCTAGAAGCTGACTCTTTGAAGTGCTACTAATTTTTATGAATTGCTAGTCAGAACAGGGATGCCCAGAAGGGGGTTTTATGGGACAAGTTGCGCCATCTAAATTTTTGAGGGGGGCATATTTTGATGGGTTTTTGAATTTTTGAGGGGGGCAAATTTCGACAGGGTTATAAATAAATTTTTGGACCAAGAGACGACAAGAGGAAAACATGGAACAGACTGCAGCAAGTGTAATTATATATGATCTACGATTTTTCTAATTTTGCTCTGTTTTTAAAACGGACAGAATTGATGGAAGCAATAAAATATCTTTGGAGGAGGAGGGATGGATTCTTGCGCCATTGACCTTGAGGAGGATGGGCATCCCTGAGTCTGAATATGAATTGTATACAAGAGTTGTCTCGTTGAAAAATAAAGAATTAAAAACCGATTATAATTCTACCAAACATTGATGCAACACCTTTTCACTTTCCATTGTAAAAAAAATTGCTGGCTGCTGCTTTTTTATATCTGACTTCTTGCCTTGAAATATTGTTAAAGAATTAATTTAGTGTCAGAAATCCAATTTTCCAATTCAAGTCCAATTTTATCTTTTCTTAAGGTGGTTACGTTTTCTCTTTCATAGGAAGTGATAACACAAAAATTAATAATAAACTAGATAGACTAGATGTTGTATTTTTTATTAAACCATAGATTATTCGCAATGTTTTTTAATCATCATATAACTATACTACAGATACTCAACTTTTATAAACTAAAATAAATCTTCCTTGTTTAATAAGCTTTAATTGCATATTAATTTATTTCATTAAAGTTCACAGAGTTGAGATTCGCCTCCATTTGTTTAATTATAATTATTATATGATTTAATATTCTGTCACTCCTGTTTGTAAATTAATTATGAAAAAATACTACTTTTTTAAAAATTTCTTATCTAAAATGATAATGAACCATTGCTTATAATAGATATTTAATAATAACTATATGTTTTTAATCCTAATATTTATCTTTACATGAAAACAAATTCTAGTAATTGTAGGGTTTTATTTTTAATATCGGTACTCCTTAAATAGCCTGTAGGGTCTGACTGCTATCTGCCAATGTTTATAACCTTAACACTGATAATTCTGATAAGGCACCGATAATTCCTATCTTTGTATTCATATTTATTGTAATATATTCATTATTTCACCTTTGCAATTATCCCGGCGTCTTGAAAGGGTTGCATTCCCATTCCTTAGGAATTATCTTTTCCTCATACATTTTCTGCAAAAGGTTCTGCAGAACCTTATCTCCCTTCCAGTACTTAATGAATACTGGAGAGATATTGCCTCTTCCTGCTGCTTTCTCAAGCTTAAGTAATGTAAGGACACTTCAACTTCTTCCCATATTATACCTAAATCTTGCTCAATATCTTGTTCATCTGGATTGGGAATCGATTGTTCAGAGTTTGTTTGATCTGTGAAAATCGTGCCACAGTGCCTTTTCCCATCTTTCTAGTATGCCAGCAGTATCGGTTACTGTATCTCCATTTTCATCTCTTACATTTCTAATGCTTTTATCTCAATTTTTTTTTATGGCCTTAAACTTTTTTCCAGAACTTTTTAATATTGTCTCTGTAATACTAGTCTAATTGGTTCTTCCAACATGCATAATTTGTGTCTATCTCCATATTAACTTCTCTCAGTTGATCCCTCGGATTAAACTGGACATTCTTTCCATTGTTGCCAAAGACTACCAGGTCGTCCGAATAGTGAACTAGGTAAGAAGCAATCTTCTGTAGCCAAAATGTAAAGGTCTCCAGTCGGGCTTTCCTCATAGCCCTTTCTGGTACTACAATAAAAAGGAGTGGACTCCAGCTACATCCTCGAATCCTTCAGTAGTTTGGAACTCGTTGGTTAAATGTCCTGACTACATCCCACATAAGGCTTTGTCTATATCACGATTTCTGACTCTGTCAAAAGCTTTAGTCATGGTCGACGAAACAGATAAGATGATTTAGTTATAACTTAATCTACAAAATCTGGTATTATTTCTAGAATTATCCAAAATTGATTACATACCTACAAGTTTTCATTTTTTGTTAATTACATGTTTATAATATTGGTATTGTAAGTTAAATTGTGACTAGCTAAATTAATAATCATAATTTATTAACAATGTATATGACTTATAAATAACTTGAGAATCAGCCGATTATCTTGAAACGTTGTTATTGACATAAATAAATGAAGGAAGTCAAAGGGTAATTTATTCCTTGGAAACATCTTATATGATATTACATGGACGTACCCTTGAAAAAAAAGTACTTGGATTCATAACTAAACGATATGTACTTTAAAATATAACAACAATAATTCAATGAAATAGAAGATTATTTATCATTCAAATATTGACTGACAGAAAAGGAATAGTTCTGAAAGAATTGCAGGTTCTAGGTTTTAATTAAAATCCCTAAGACCTTATATGTAACATTTCGTTGTATCGTTCAGGCAGATCCAATATTTGGTACATAGCCGATGTACAGATAAAGCAATGATGACTAATTCATAAAGCAACCAGATTCATTAACCTATAGCTTGTCTAGCCTATGAAGAAAATTAAATAAATCTAACTACACAACATTAATTTTTTTAATATAATTTATGAATTATCTAAATTAGTTTTCAATAAAATATAAAAAATATAAATATATATATATAAATGAATTGGTTTAGAAATAAAAAAAAAGTTTTAGATTCTGCCATACTTACATGACAAGAGATTTGCAAAACAAAGGGCAGTCGAGCGTGAAGGTTTCATACTCCCCTCCCTCCCCACAAATATTTAATCCATATTTTTCATTCTGGAAAGAATTCGTACAATGTCAAGACAGACAACATACCGATTATCTTTATGACTGGCTGGTCTTCCATAAAATAAACAACTCTTTCTCCCACAAAAAAAAAAAAAAAAAAAGAAGTTATCCGTATTCAAATAATTTATTCAAGAAATAAACAACAGCAAAAAAACAGAAAGTTGTTTTTAATAAATTAAAATTTTAAAATATTAAATTTCTGACATAACGAATAATCTTAAAACATAACGAACAATAATATTTTAACACGCATTGATGATTTGATATAAATTTATCAAATGTTAGCATTAAAACAGTTAAAACAAAGAATAATTACACACAGCATACTTGATTATTTGAACAATTCATTACTCAGATTTAAAATGTATATATAAAGGTTAATATCTTGATATATTTAACTCAACATTAATCATAGATCTTTTCGCTACGGATTGTAGAATTATTTTATTATTAGAAATTATAGTTATCATATCGCAAACTAAATATACCATTATAATAAAGTTAATTATACTTTATATTTAAAATCGACATTACAATTTATATATAAAAAAATTTATTTAATTAAAATTAATTTAAGTTTTTCTTTTACAAATAAAAATATACTAATTATTACTTTGATTTAAACTTAATTTAGAAGCCATTAATAAAAATTAAATAAACATAATTCATTCAATATTATACCAATATGTAAATTACAATTAAGTAAACATGTTCGAATAATAAATAAAAATGATTACCATTTTCACCAGATGAGGTTGAATTTCTGATATTTTTAAACCTAAATGTTTGCTTGGATCTAAACCGAGTGCAGCAACTTTAATTATTATAGCATCAATATTTGTATCTATCATTTCTTGCAGAAGTTCGTCTTGATCACGTCTCCAAAGGTATGCGAGAGAAACTAAACCTAAACGGCTACAACTAAACAATAAAATGAACAAAGAATTTGAAATCAATAAATAAATATTATAATAACAATCATGTAAACAAAAAAGACTATTATTAAATAAAGTGATTAAATAATACAATAATAAATTAAAATTTAAATTGATTATGAACTAGCTCACCTGTACAAATAAATATAATAGATTAGTAAGGATTTAATACACTATTTTTTTTTTTTGGAGATGGAAACCAATAATATTAATTAGAAACCGCTTAACTTTTTATAGATTAGGACTAATTTTGCTCAAATTTGAAGAAAAAAATATATATTAGTACATTCTACATCATGATCCATGCGACATCTTTTAATTTTATTTTAATGAGAGTCCTACAGCAGGGAACTAAGACTTACTTTTAAAACAGCATTTCATATTACTTGTTGGAGCGACAAATTTGCCAGATTAAGATTCCGTCTATTCGGTAATGGTAGATTGCTACAATAATGCTCTAATCAAGAGCAACATTAATTAGGGCGGTACACAATAGGATTTCATGGTCCCGGTGCTTCTAGTATCATTAAACTAAAAAAACCACTTCCCGTGGTGTTTTTTAATATTGCTGAACCAATTGGAAACCAATGAGGCTCTTAATATAGGAACTTTAATTTTATTAATAGCTAAGTTTATTTTTATTAGCTACTGGGAATACAATTTGGTAGTAGATATTTTAGTTAAAACCTTTCTTTCTTTGTTCTACAAAATTTATTGGCAACATGGCAACTCATGTTCATTTTACTTTGAAACAAAAAAAAAGATATGATTAATGTAAATGCACTTTAACTTTTTCTTCTGGAAATATCTGCTCAATACATACTAAAAAAAGTCCGAAACTTATACCTTGCCATAGAGATCAAACAAAATTAACAAATATGTCAACGCTACTAGAAATATTTATGGTTTTCAAAGTCCCTTGATAATTGAAGTATTGTTATGACAAAACAATAATTATGTGTGAACTATCTTCTTGAGGTATTTTTAAATAACTAAAGTTTATGCTTACACATTTTCCACACGAAGACGCTGATAATCAGAAAGTACCGCTCCGACGGATACAGCTTCGAATTCAATATGTTCCTGAATTAATAATTAAATAAGTATATACTTTCAAAATATAAATATTGAGATAATATAAATCTTCTTACAACAAACATCACTTGAGCTAACCTTAACTTTAACTAATAATTGATATAAATCCTCAACTTCATCTTCAGGAGTAGGGGTGTAATGCTTTTCGTTGTGCAAAGCGACTCCCTGTGTAGGTTGTCTAAATAAAGGAATCTTCATAGCTTCAGCATATAGTTCTACTCCCTGATGACCAACAGTCTGATACATGTAACTATCTAATTCATCTAGAACTAGAAATATTGAAGTTTTAATTTAAAAAAAATTAAGCTTGACATTCATTACGAACGTATACATTAAAAAATTAATCATTCACCTTTACTTTCAGGTTTCAAGTTTGCTAAGGCCACAATATCATGCCCAGCCATAACACATTGTAGCATGTTATAGCAACTGTCTTTGCCTCCACTTATTAAAGCTACCACCTTCATTGTAATAGTTGGAACTCGGTAGGTTAAGCAGTAATAGTAATCATAATTATATATTAATGTTTCTTGGTATCAGTCAATTATAGGAAACTGCTAAGGCACACCAATTTAAAACATGGAGATTAAAATAAATCAGTATAGACAAAAATTATATCTACATACCTTAAATAAATAATCACAAATATTACTTCAGTAATCCTCCACTCAATAAATAAAAGAAAACTGTGTAAATACAAATATATTTTTTAAAAATGGGAGTATATACTGACAATGACCAATATTTATGAATTGGAAAATACTTGATAATATTAATTGTTAAGTAAACAGATTTGATTCAGTAACTTAATTGATGTAATGGACAAGTAAATAATAGGTCTTCAAAAATAGCCGAGATAACTTACAATCATAATTCATAAACACAATAAGACTTGGTACTTAATATTATAGAAATCGGCATTGCTCCAAGTTACCACTAGTTTTCAAATCCAAGACCTTTATTATAGATCTTGACAAAACCGCCATCATAAGCGCTCTCTGTTATAAAGCAATAAACTAAATCCATTATGGATCAAATTCAAAATTGTTTAATTTTATTCTATTATTTTAATACATCATTGAACTTTAAATATCAAATAAAACTCAATAGGGAACAGGTTGTCATAGCTTTTGAATGTTATTTACGATTATTTTTTAATTAAAATGTAATTAAACAATGAACTTGCAGAGAACACCATCAACTTTATTCGTGACACCGTATTTCTTTATTGTTATGAAACAGCTGTATTAATGGTCAACAAATAAATGAAGACATTTTTATCAAAATATTTATTATTTATTTTACGAAAAATAAATAGAGCACATTTAAAACTAATGATTTCTTTTTATAACTTAAATCTCATTCTTTGCACAGGAGTTTCAAATCTAATTATTAAATAATTTCATTTAATTTAATCAGAAATGCTTTTTATCTATATTCAATATCGAAAATAGGTTTTGGTTCTATTTAAAAGAGAATTAGATCTCTTTTTTTAAACTTAGCTCAATATCGTAGATACAGGAATCTCTGGCCCACAAGAGAATTGTAGAGAGCTGTACGGTGGTACGAATAGACTGGTTAGTCCACAGTCTGACGTGTTAGGTTTTACATCTCGTGTAATTTTAACATCGTTAACTTATTGCATAGGTTTTTATTTATTTATTGTTTCTATTTGAAGAAAATGGTTCTCGCCGACAGAAATTCCGAAAATTTGCGAAACGGTCGTAGGTCCCGAGGACCAAGTCCTAGTGAACATTCATCTGACTTAAGTACTGATGAAGAATCAGGTAAAATAATTATATTTTTGTTGTTTTCTAGTTTGTTTTTATAGGTTGCTTAGTCCTAATAAGTTTCACTGCAAAGTTTCAACACTTTTAAGTTTCAACAAATTAGTTTTCAATTTTATCCCCAAGATTCTATTTATCTCATTTATTTGCAGTTTTTTATGTTTTCAAGTGTTTGATATTCATCATATATGTTACACAAAGATATTTCTCTTCTTCCTATCTTCTACCTTTCAGTTAACTCCTTGAAACTATTGGATCTGGAATATGTATCTCTACATTGTTAGGTTAATATCATCATTAGATGTTTACTATATTGTTATGATGTTTTGAAAAATATTAATTTTTCCTTTTAATTATAAATTGTATTGGGTATTGATAAATTTCTATTTTAAATGAAATCATTATGATAACACTACAGATCTTGATAGGGGATTACTTTCGAGTTTATTTTCATAAAGTTATGATTTTCGTTAAGTTGAGCTCATCTAGTTCATTGTGTTTTACTGTTGCAGATTAGAAAATCTTATTATTTTAGGAATAAGAAAGATTTTATCAATAGTTATAACAAATCATTTCATTTTAGGTGAAAAAATACGTGTGGGTCGTGAATACCAGGCCATCATTCCACCCTTAATTCCTGTCAATGGTTTGTAGTAAGCAGTCATGTTTGTGTATATTGTTACTTTTTCATACTTTTTAACCATATTTTGTTGTTATAGAAAGGAATTTAGAAGAATGTCCCGATCGTGCTTTATTGGTCTGGTCTCCTACTAATACAATCTCAGACAGAAATCGTATGTAAAAAATTGATTTGAAAAACTGTTTACTTTCTATTGCGAAACATTATTTAATGTTTTAATTTTAACATTTTAGTGGATGCTTACATTACAATAGCAAAAGAAAAATATGGTTACAATGGCGAACAAGCATTAGGTATGTTGTTTTGGCACAAACATATACTACAAAATGCTATAAATGATCTGCCAAATTTCACCCCTTTCCCTGATGAATGGACTGTTGAAGATAAAGTTCTATTTGAACAAGCATTTCAGTTTCATGGAAAAAGTTTTCATAGAATTCGTCAAATGGTAATATTACTTTAATATGTTTTATATTAGTTTTGTTACTTATTTTATATAATATATATACATTTTTTTCTTATTATATGTGACATGCAGCTACCAGACAAGTCAATTGCTACCCTCGTTAAACATTATTATTCATGGAAGAAAACTCGATGTAGAACGAGTTTAATGGATAAGCATGCTAGGAAATTAATCCGAAATTGTAATGAAGACTGTAATGCATCAGATGCTGGGTCTGAAGTTGGTTCTAACACTGACTCTGATTCAGAAGATAAGGTATATGTTATACATAATTTATTATTGTTTATAAATGTCAACTTTGAATTATAACCCATGTTGTTACTGTTAACATTGATAAGATTAATATTTATCTTTACCAAGAAGGAGATGGTTCGAACTACCTTCTTTAGGGCTGAAATGTGTTGAAAAGTAGCCATTAACTAAATTTTTGTGATAAAAATAGTCGATTTGCCTGGCTCTTTCCACTGCTTAGTTGATACCTACTTGTCTCCAAAATTAATTTTTATTTACAGATCTAGCATACCTGTGCAATAACTCACATTAGATATCTTTCTTCTTTCTTTTACATTTGTAGTGCAAACGATTTTAGGAATTTTTATTCATATATAAAGTATATTATTATTGTGAAAGTCTATTAAAAAATCACAATTTGTGGTCTTGGTTTGAAAAGGTTCTGAAGTTATGGAAAAGGTAATGAAGTTATCTATGTTCCAAATGAATTTTAGTACCATCAGTTGAAAAATGAAGAAACTATTAGTTTGTCATGGTTCTAACTACTGACCACTTTTGAAAGTGATTTGTTTGAGAAGCTTCTAGCTGTAATACGCAATGTGGTACTCATTTGTAGTTATTTTAATGACTTTTAAACATGAAATTATTATATCATTTATATTAAATATTCGATTCTGTTATTTCAGAAACGGATAGGATTGGGGTAGCATAGTGTTAGGGTACTGATCTTCCATTACTCAAGGTCTCAGGTTCAAATCCTGGCTCGTGGCTGACCCTGGTATCAGTAGAGCCTCCTATGGCACACTCAGCCTCTATAAAGTGAGTACCCTTAATTAAATAATTAATTAACGGAGGAAACCTGGCGGTTGAGCGTGATCTTTGTAGAGGCTAGGTGTGTCCCAGGAGGATCTCCCGAACCCAGGGTCGATCCACAGCTAATGAAAAATTACTAGTCATCAACCTGGGACCTTAAGTATTGAAAGCTCAGTACCCTATCACTGAGCTGCCCCACTACATTAAACTATGCTGTACCAAAATTTTAAAAGATAAAGTTAAATAAAAAAATAAAAAACATGTACCACTACAACCCATGAAGGGTCTGGGGTTCAGTACTATTTAGGGAAAGCACTGTTTCTAGGTCCACGGTTGTGCAAGGAGGTGATTTGACCGAGATCACGCTCAACCGCCAGGTTTTCCCCCTTAATTAATTATTTAATTAAGGGTACCCACTTTATAGAGGCTGGGTGTGCCCCAGGAGGGACTCCTGACCCAAGGTCGCCCCACGGCCAATGAAACAGATAAATAAATTTTTTGCCATGAGCCGGGGTTCGAACTCGGTACCTTTGCATTGGAAACTCAGTGCCCTACCACTGAGCCACCCCACTCCCTAAAGTTAAATAAAGTAAACTTTTTTTTTTTTCCTGCCCCCCAGGAATTTATTTACTATACAAAATATGATATATAAATGCATAATGAAATATATATGTATATACAAAAAATTTCTAATTTCCTTTTATTGCCCAAGGACATTTTAAGGTAAAAGGGCTATGGACGCTGTATGCGTACTTTGCATCTGTGGCCAGAGGCCTTTTATTACATTGGGCATAATAAAAGGCCTCTGGCCACAGATTTTTATTTTTTTATTTTTCTTCCCTATCCTCCAGGAATTTATTAAGTAAACAAACAAATTTTACTTCATTCATGTTACTTTTAGCTATGCTCATATAATGGGATGAAAAGATTTTTTTTTCTTTTTAAATTTACTTTGGTGTTGTTTCTGTAAAACTCATATTTCTGTCTTTTTTTTTTGTAACTACATGGGCAATGATTTAAAAGTAGATATTTGCTTCTGAAATAAATAACTTTTATTTTATTTAACTTGAAAAGAATAAAATAATTTAATAAATCAATTTGTTAAAAAAAAAAAAAAAGGAGTACGAAATATTTAATTCTGCTTTTCGATTCTTCATACCCTCCCTAAAACATTAAAGCTCAAAATTTTTTAGAATGCTGCTATCAGCTCTTAGATCCTTGTCTCCATGAAAGTGCGTTCTGGATTGACAAAGTTCTAACTGCGAAATTTTAATGTTCAAAATTATTTTAATAAATGATGCAATCAAGTCGTCGACGAATGGAAATATAAGTTCACAGCTTCAAGTTATTGTACACACAAAATTGTTAGTCAAAAGTAACAAAATATTTATTCTATAGTAAATTGTAACTTTCCGTTTCTTAAAATTATTGTAAATGCAGTTAAAACCTTTTCAAACCAAGACCACGAATTTGTGAATTTTATACTTTCTATTGACAAATGTTGAAATTAATGTTTAATTAACAAGTAAGTTTGATTAGCTTGGTCTACAGAAAATTATCTCTTTCACTAAAGCAAGTAAGACTCAGCTATTATTAAACTAATACTATAACCCTGTATAGAAGAAAGATATGAATAAGGTCAAAGAAATTTTTTATATATTATCTAAGTTGCTTAAGTGATCGCAGAACTATTCTCCTTTGTTTACCTTTTGAATAGATTTTTAGTCGCCTGTTTATTATAATAAATCACAGTATTTTAATTTTTAAGAACCTAAATATATCCCATGGAAACTTCGTTACCTTGGAAGCCTTTTGTTTTTTTAACAAAGGTTTAGCTTGAAAATGATACATTTTCGCTCCTAAATATGCAGGGCAAAACTTGACCGAATCATGATATCTGAATTGAAATCTTTTGTCCCGTCTCTATTTGTCTACATAGTACTACTTGAGTTTTGGGATTGAAGTTCCTCATTTCTCCAAGAAATTCCTTTTGTTTGATAACTCATTAATCAAAACCTCCAGGGATGGGAGATAGTCGATAGTTTTAAACTATTGTTAATCCTAGTGACTATCAATAGTTTGTATCCTCCCCTTAGGCACAAATTAATATAAAATTTTGTATATTTAAATGAATAATTTTAATAACACACCTTTATTGATGTACGAGATGTAGTGATAATATAACAGTGTAAAAGTTAAATGTTTGATGATGGAAAACTGTTATTGTATAATGGAAAGGCCACGTTAAGAAAATAAATGTATAGAAGCGTGTTTAAAACTATTCTTATCAATATATAAAACTGAAACTAAATTGAACAAGAAGAAGCCTTCAATGTAAAAAATAATTCAATCTCAAATTACTTCCTTAGAAATATTTGGTCCTCTTCCATTAAGGTACTATTTGGCTGGCGCGGTCGACGACAGCGACCGCTATTCCCCCCTGCCAACCGCTGTTGGCGTAGCTATTTCGCTGAAACTGCTCACTGGGGTTGTTATAACCTGCCTATAACCTTCGAACATTTCGCTGTATCTTCGAAGATAAAAAGATGGACATAATATAAGAATAAAAATGAACTTCCTATAATAATGAAAATCTCTGACTACCGCTTTTTTATTTGAGTTGGAAAAAGAAGAGAAAATGTTGTTCATAAAGAGAAGGAATATCAGTATTTCGATGTGATGCTCATCATCAAAGTTCCTCTGATATTACATATTATTAGTTTGAAAAATAATAGTAATTAATACATAATTGGTTAGTAATAAATATCATATATTTGCAATTAAATCTCAGCAAGCGATGTTTTATAATTTTATCAATAGTAATCAGTAAATCACCACTTTAATTAAAAAATACAAATCGTTTTTTCAATGGGTGGATTTTAGTATTTATCTGACGGTAAAATTTGTTGGATTCTTTAATTTATGTAATATAGTTTGTATTTCGCTGTAAAATATTTCTGGTGGAATAAATAAATGAATAATCTTGTTACTTCAACCTTAAAAAAATAATTTACTATTGCATTGTTTCAGTTTTAAACAATATTTGTTATAATTTTGCCAGACTTGACAGAAACATAGGAAATAAAATGTATCGAAGTGACTGTTATCATCAAAACAATGCTCTGATATGATAATATAACCTACAACCGCCGAACCGCCAACAGCTCCACTGCTTCAAGAGGAGTCCGATACGAGCAGCTTAGATATGACGTCATACCTAGACTGCCGAGCAGCGCCAGCGAAATAGGTTCCTTTCTATTCCACTAAAGCAGTGGTCAACCGCGAGCAGTCGCGGTCGTGGACCGCGCCAGCGAAATAGTACCTTTAGCTGGACAGGACCAACTGCTATCTGCCAATGTTTATAACCTGAACACTGATAATTCTGATAAGGCTTCTCATAATTTCTATCTTCGTATTCATATTTATTGTATTATATTCAACTTATTGAAATTGTAAACAAAAACAAAAACGAATGTAATAATAACTATAACAGTTTGGTTTGAAGTTGAAATAGACACATAAAGAAATGTAATAATTCCCACAACAATGGGAAAACACTTTAATTTTACAACATATATATGAAATAGACAAAAATAAATCTAATAATAAAAAAACACTTAAACAACATATGTACAATTTATTTTCATTTCACCTTATTTATTTTGGTTAGATAAAATAGTTAATTTACCATTTAATATATTAAATAGACGAAAACAGATGTAATGATAACAAAACAGTTTGGTTAATAACATCCATAGCAATTAATTAATAACATTAATTAAAAATTAAAAACAATAATTAATAACATTTGACGAAAATAACAGGAATGGGACAAAAATAAACAATGGAATAACTCAAAGCTTTGATGAGATAAGAAGGGAGATTATCTAACATTAGATAACAAGGTAGGTTTCATCCAGGCCTCCTAATGGACAGGTACCAAAAAAAAAAAAAAAAATTATATAATCTACAAGGATGCCACTACAGTATTTTTATATAAACTCGGTGCTATTATGAAATTAAATTTAGAAAATTATAGAATCTTGGAAATTAAAAGACAAACACATTTCTCGCCTCCTTTTTTTTTACCAAATAGTTAAAACAATACTACCTATATTTTGTCGATGTTTATTATTTGAATTCAACAATCGGGGAAGTAAATGCAATTTATTTTTCAATAAAAAGTTATTTTCTCGTCAATATTTTTTAAAATTATTTATTTGATAATTTTTATTAGAGCCTTAACATTAATCTTTGAAAATATATCCAATATAAATTTTAATTATTTTAAAGCTTATGCAGCATTTTAAAGTAAATAATTAAAGATTTCTGTGAAAAGAAATTCTCTTTAAGTCTTAGTGGGGAAGTTACTAAACTATCGATAGTGGAAAACTATCGACTATTGTGCATCCCTATCAAAACCCAACATACATGAGAGCGGTAAAAGGGAACCATAAATATTGTAGATGTTTGAATAATTGTAGGAGAGAAAAGGGTCATAACAATATCTAAGGTTATGATTTTTTGTAAGTTATTCACGTTTCTTAGAATCACCTTGCTCATTTTTCTCGTTTATATTCCTGTATTGTTAATTCTTGCAAATTTTTTTTTGTATTAAATATTTTGTTTGTCTTAGTACTAAATTTGTATTATGACATTCCTTTTATTAGTAGCTGCTCCATCTAATAAAGGAAGATCTTTTATTATTATTATTATTATTATTATTATTATTTTAGTGAGTTGGTGATGCTTAATAAATTTATCTATTTTTTTTTTATTATTATTTCTATTATTAGTTGATAATTTTTCTTCTGCTGGAATTGCTTTGTTTTTGTAGACCTAAATTAAATTTTGTTTAGAAGTGGCTCCAATCTGAAAGGAAGACCGTATCTCCTCCAAGTACAACTCAGTCGAAATTGGATAATAGTTCTCAAGATGTGAGTGAGACAAGATAAAAAAAAAAAAAAAAAAAAAAAAATTAAAAAAATAAATTGAATAAAAAAAAATATTTAAAATAGATTTTTGCACAATGTGCTGCCCTATTTGCTCATAGCTTTTCTCTCATCTTAAAACTATTTCATTTAACTAATCATATCTGGGTTATCTCATGCATGTACCACACGCGTTTAACCTTATCTTCATGTAACAGTCATAATCAGCTGCTTATTGTTATATATATATATTTTTTTTTATAAGTATAATGTTTATTAATGGAACGATATGCTTATAATGTTATAAACTTTGTTTTTCACTTTTTGCTTCTTTAACAATCATATTTAACATATTAAAGCATCTCTTAATATTATTGTTGAGTTAGATTCTCTATTTTTATCTTTACTTCTTCTTATCTATCCATACTCGTGTAACAAATACAAGGTGGTGTTATTATCAGTTACTATGTATTTGGTTGAGAATGGATCACCTCAAATTATTAACTTTCAATTTTATGTTAGATTTATTTTATATATATTTTTTTTTTTTATATTTTAGGAAAAGTAATAGTTACAAAAGTGGATAGTTGTAATGTTAACTATTAAGGAGAGCACATTTTTTTCTTTTTATGCAGAAAAATGGGTAAGATGTGCTGTAAATGAACATAAAATATACAGGAAAAAAATCCTCAAATATGCAATAAGGCATCTAAAACATTGAATTATACTAATATCCTCAATAATAATAAAGTATAAAAGAAATGGGAGGAATGATTAGAAGAAGAAAAAAACCCTCGAAAAACATAGGAAATAAAAAATAAATTATTAACTAATTTCGATGAACAAAAAAAATTATGTATGTGCTTTAGACCACATGATAGAATTGAACACATCATCAAGGCGAGATTAATAATATGAAATATAATTTTCTTGTTTGTTCTATTTATTCACAAAGTAATAAAATCAAATAAGTAATTTTATTTACTTCTATTTGAGCACAAAATTGAGAAAAAAAGGTGGCCTTCAAAAATATCGAGCCATTTGGTATGACCTGCTCTCCCAAAATGTCTAAATAACGGGGTTATATAGGCCAAATGGCCTAATTTATATGTAGATCATTTTTTTGCTCAAATTATTTCACAAGTTTGTGATCAAATTATCTTATGATCCAAGTGGAAAGCAAATGGGTATTTACGAATTTTTAGTACCTAATTAAATAGACAAAGTTTGACGATTTCTAGGGTCTTGGTTTTTCAGTATTTTGTAAGGAAGTACTTTTTCAAGGGCAAAGGTATGTTTAGTCAAATAAAATTAGGGATTGACACCCAACATTAAAGAAATAAAGATGAAATTGTTTATTACCCTCTCTATAATTACTCTGAAAAAGTCCCAAAGAATCCCCCGTCGTGTTTTGATGCAGGAAGGCTACAAAACTGATATTTTTTACTTTTTTTTTTTTGAGAATATCTGAAAAACTATGAAGTTTTTGAAAAAAATGATCTAAATAATACCTAAGTACTCAAAAAATTTCAGTAAAAATGCCCCCTATACATTTTTTTTTTTTTTTTTATAAAATCAATGGTTACAAGATTATATTTCCACTTTAAGCAAAGATTGCTCCAAACAATGAAATTGATGTTCATAGTACATGATACCATTTTGAAGTTTAATTATTTTTTTAAACATTTTCTATCTTTCAAATTAGTATTCAAACTTTCATTGTTTTAAAGATTCTAAAAAGTCATTGACAATACAATTGTGTTGGATATTGATCAATGGAGAATTTTTTGATGTTGTCACGCAGTTTGGATTGACATTGATTTCAGATAATTGTTATTATGTGATGGCGGATCTCAAAATGTATAAACAGTAACTATAACTATAAACCATGATTTGATTATATACAGAGAACCAGGAAATTTAATTTTAAGTTAACCATGTTTTCTGTCGAATAAAAAGCAATAACTAAAAAAAATGTTTAATTTAGGTTACAACCAATTACTTCATTACAAACTAGATACAATTTGAATTAAATGAAAGTAAATTGTGTCTTTTTTTAAAACCATTTGAAGGAAACTTTAAATAGTTAAACTTCAGTAAGTTCGGTTTTCCATAAAATTGATGATTTTTCGGGAACTAGACTGGACTTTTAGAAAAACTTTCTTGTTTAATGAGCTTGGAGTTCATATTATTCACGGAAATAACAAAGGGAATAAATTGATAGAATTTCCATTTTCAGAAAAAAGTGTACTAGACTGGAATTAAAACACTTTTAGATAAACTTTCTTGTTTAATGAGCTTGAAGTTCATATTAGCTACTGAGATAACAAAGTGAATAAATTGATAGAATTTCCATGTTAAGAAAAAAAAAGCCGCCGATACTCGAGATAAATAATTTTGAGGTAGAATCTCAACTTACTCTAACAAACTTCAACTTAATTATTTATTTATTCAATTTTAAATTATTTATGTGACCGTATCTTTTTGTCTATGTTCATAGGACTATGTTACTTGCTGTGTGTGCGTTCTAATTTTCTGATGTTAAAACATAGTCATTACAATACTATGTATATATATTTTTTTTTTTTAGCGCTATAACTTTTAGAAATTGACTTGTACCGGTTTCACCGAAATATGTATATATATAATATATTGTATAATTGTAGTTGTATGTATTAGTATATTATAATATTGATATTGTTTGTGCTGTGTAATATGAAAATGAATTTGTATGTCCAAAAAAAAAAAAAGTGATGAGTATGCTGTGTATCGAGCAACCCTATATAGTAGGGCAGCACTGCTTTAAATAAAGTATTTCTCTCTCTACTTTGAGCTCATAAACAAGAAAGTTATACTAACCATGTGGAATCTCCAGTCCAGTTAGGTGGTTGTAAAAAAAATTACAAAGAATCCTTGATTTTATAAAAAACCGAATTTATCTTATGTTCTTAATTGTAAATTTTTAAATGGTCTTAAAAAAGACAAAATTTACTTTAATTTTATTTCAATTTTTTCTGGTTTACAATAAAGTAATTGGTTGTAACTTAAATTAAACATTTTTTTAGTTATTACTTTTTATTTGACAGAAAATGTGGTTGACTAAAAAAATAAAATTCCCTGGTTGGCTGTATGTAATTAGGCCATGATTTAAAGTTACTTTTTATACGTTTTGAGATTCGCTATCACGTAATAACTATTATCTAAAATCAATGTCAATCTAAACTTCATATCAATATCACAAAAATCTCCACTGATCGATATCAAATATAATTCTGTTGTTAATGACCTTTTAGAATCTTCAAAACAATGAAACTTTGAATACTAATTTGTATGATAAAAGAATGAATTACAATTCAAAATGGTATCATGTACTATGAACAACATCAATTTCGTTGTTTGGAGCAATTTTAGCTTAAAGTAGAATTACAATAAATCTTGTAAATATCTCTGTAACCATTGAAAAAAAAAGGATAGGATCATTTTTTAGAAATTTAATTAAGAGAACACGCTTTATAGAGGCTGTATATGCCCCAGGAGGTTTTTCTCCTGATCCTAAGATAAATAATTATCTTAAGCTGAGGAGCCCAGTGCCTTTCTCGCTTTTACTCAAAGTTCTAAGTTCAAATTGTTTACAGAACTTTTTTTCAAATAAGCTTGAAGAGATAAAATCAGTGCTATCCCTTCAGTGTCTTCCTTAAAAAAAAAAAAAAAAATTGCCTCTGCTGACATTCATATTTTTTTTTTACCAATAAAGTGATGTATTTTAAATTTATCAAACCATCCAATTGACAACTTAAAATCATTTTGACCCAAATTCTGGTTGGATTCTGAAAGCTTTTTATCTTAGTTTTCTTATTTAAATATTATTATCATTTACCGGTTGCCAAAAATAAATTTTGTATGCAGCTATGAATAGGTTTGTTAAATATCAATTTTGCTCGTACACATACAAAGTATGCAAGATAGAAAAATTATTTAATGTGTTTTAAATTTATTTAGCCATTCAGTTGACAAAATAAAATAATTTTGATCCAAATTTCGTGCTGCTTCTTAAGGGCTGGAGATTCAAGAATACAGCTTCTGGTACAGACTCTTTTTTTACACATTATTGACATCCGCCTAAAACTTCGTGAATGGATTTATCTTATCGTAACCTACTAATTTTTTACTTAGAGAAATTCTCGAAACTGGGCCATGATTTAATTATATTAATTAATTTAATTAGGTAGCAAATACTCCTAAGTACACATTTGCTTTCCACTTTAATCATAAGATAATTTGATCACAAAATCAAAAAAAAGTTAGCCTATAAAAATATAATCTGATTTTGACATGTTGGGAGTGGAGGTCACACCAAACGGCCCAATATTTTTTAGGCCATCTTTATTGGGTATTAATGAGTTGGCAAATGGGTATTAATGAGTTATTAGTACCTAATTAAATATACAAAGTTTCATCTCCAGATTGAAGATAATGCCCCAATTCCAAGAATTTTCGTGAATAAATAAAAAAGTAGTATGTTACGATGAGATGAAGCTATTGAGATGAAGTTTTAGGCCGATGTTAATAATTTCATAAAAAGGTGTCTAATAACATAAAATAATAAACATAGACTAATAATAAAAGTTTTAGATTTTTTCCTCCAATTTTTAATTGAGAATACTAGGTTTTTCTTGTTTACTTATTAATTTTATCCTTTTTTTTTTTCTCTTTTAAAGTTAAACAGATACTGTCTGACATTGCCAATCGATTCTGTTGGAAAGATAACACTAAAGGATTATACTGTAATCCATACTTTCAAACTGAATTCCCAGTAATCGTGATTCAACTAACTGATTGTAAATATAATTAAAATGCCCGTTATATGAGCCTCACTGTTTTACTTCTGTCCATAACAGAGAAACTTTTCCATCCTTGCGTTTTAGATAACGTCCGTTTTTCAGAAGTCCCAAACACTATTTAATTATTTAAAATTTGATTGATTTTATAAATATGTCCACTATAGA